TAATTAATCTTAAACTAGGAAATTTTTATTCAATCCTAATCTTATGACTGAAGACAAAAAGTCTCTGTACTTTACATTACGTCTCATACTACATATGTCATGGTTATCAATTAGATATAAAGACTATATTCAATATGGAGTAAATCTATTGTATCCACTTCGATATACGGTTGCCTAGAATAAAAAAGGTTTCATTAGGTATAAATTTAATTACTACTATCGAAAATTACTTGTACATATCATTAATGTTTATAATCATTAATCGTTATAATTAATCATTAATATTTGTATAATAAATAAATAAATAAATAATCATTTGTACATATTGTAAATTCTTGGCAAAATACATTTATTTACTTTGTTCAGAAGAATACTAATTAGAACCTGTTAGCGTTTCATGTGTATGTGCTAGTGTTTGTATGTGTATGCAGACACGTATGCCTAAATAACATAAGATTGCATCATCTTTAACCCTCCGTAGGTCGGATATTTATTTACCCGATTTTTTCATTGATCGACAGCTAATGAAATTTTAGGAAAAAACCAGAAATTTCAAGTCGATAGGATTACTAAAAGTTTTTTTTTTTTTAAATAAAGTCGAAAACAGTCTGGCCATACCACTCCGACCGACGGAGGGTTAAGGTGACCATACGTTCCGGTTTGGTCGAGACAGTCCCGGATTTCCACCGAGTGTCCCGGGTTTTTCTAAAAGCAATATTTGTCCCGGTTTTATTTATTTATTTATTTTATTTATTTATTTGAATATATAGCCCACAGATTTCTCCAGGAGGACTCAAAAATACAGTTATTTTACATAATGAATAACAATTATAATATATACAAAATTACAATATACAGTTAGTAACATAAAATGCTTAAGATGAAATAACATATAATGCAGAATGTAACAATATTATTTAAAAACAGAATAAGATAAAATAATGAGATATTTGAAAAAAAAAATAAAAAGGTTAACTTGTGCAGATGGAGATTATTTGATTAGGTGAAGTGTTGTGAATATCTATTTCATTATTAATTAAGTTAAAGTTAGATGACATAAGTAAAATAGGCGCATTTAAGATAGAATTAGATTTAGGAGTAGGATAATTGAAAAATAATTGTGAACGTGTAGATAGCCTTGGAACATTAAAAGATAGTTGATTAAGAATAAGAGGACAGTCTATAGAATTATTGCAAAGTTTAAATAAGAACATAATTGTACAGATAAATCGACGTGAGGCAAGGGAAGGAATACCAAATTTAGAGCTCTTGTTCCGGATTGTCCAGGGTTTTCGAAAAGTATAGGTTTAAACTGATTCTTTGCAATTACTTGATAATAAAATTATGACTGAATCAAATCTCTGAAAATGATATATACAATGAGTATGATTATATGAAACGATACGTTATGAATGAGAAAGTTGACGAATAGAAATTTCTAAAGGTGGAATAAAACAGCCCCCCACATTTATAAATTTTAATTTTACGAAAATTAGCGAAAATTGGTACAAGTGCTAACATTTTCAAGTTAATTATAAAGAGAATTGAACAGAATTTTATGCAAGGCTCAAAAGCAAAAAAAAAAACATACGGATCGAAAAATCATAAGTAAAAAAGGAGTAAGTATATAAAACATGATCGAATAGCAAAATTCTCACTAAAAGCTCGTAATTCTGATTTAAAACAAATAGAGTCGTCCTTATTTATTTATTGCATCCTTGAATAATCTTTTTGTTATTTTATAATTATATATATATATATATATATATATATATATATATATATATATATATATATATATATATATAAGTTATTAAGCATACACACATTATTTATTTAAAAAAAAATTGTCATATTACTTGTTATATTAAGAACAGCCCAAGAACAATTATCATAAAATAGTATATATATATATATATATATATATATATATATATATATATATATATATATGTTAGAGAAGTTAGTTTTGATGTTGAGAAATATGAGTAAATTCTTCAAGGGCATACATCAAATAAAAGGCAAAGATTTAGAAGTTAATCTTTAATTTTTCCAAACGTTTCGACATAGTATTTTATGTCATCATCAGTGGATATAAATATGGTCTTACATCAGTAGCTAGCGCAAGGCACATAATTTTGCACTATTATATATACACTAACTTGTTTTTTTTATTATTATTTTGTTCGTAGTGTTTTGTTATCTACCTATGAATAAAAAGTTATTGCATGTGGCACAATATTTTAATATTGCCTCCTATAAGACGAGGCAATTTAAGTAGAAGAACACGAAATGCTACGAACCAAGCTAATTACCGATCTAATCGTACTGCATAAGAACATAACGACCAAAATGAACATAAAAGTTACTCAATACCAAATGGGCCGCTATGTTAGTAGTAATGAAGCAATTTGGCGAATATTTTCTTTCCCAATTCATGAGAGACACCATTCTGTTATTCACTTAGCTGTGCATTTAGGAAATGGGCAAAGAGTGTACTTTACAGCAGTGAACGCAGGTCAAAGAGCTGTTCAGCCACCATCTACTACATTAACAAGTTTTTTGAAACATGTCAAAACGATAATTTTGCACAAACACTGCTATATTCTGAAATACTAAAATATTCTACTTGGAATCAAGAAGATTTATACGACGGAAACAAGGAAAACCAGTACCAGGATACACATATATCAATTGATCGTTTGGGATGAATGCACGATGGCACATAAAAAATCTTTTGATGGTTTAGACAGAACCTTAAAAGATCAACAGAGCAATCAGAACCGATTTGGTAGATTTTTTTGACAGGACGAAGTCAGTCGGGTCAGCTAGTATATATATATATATATACATATATATATATATATATATATATATCTTATATATAAAATTCTTCTGTAATGGGGTATAAATAGTTATTCCTCCTAAACTATTATTCGGATTTTCATAAATCATCGTGAAGTTTATCAAGGGAATTTTCTAGGATTTTTTGATTCATAGAAATATAGTTAGATTGTAAAAATAAATGGAAAAAATTACAAAAAACCGTTTATCATTGATTGACATTGAAAATATTTGGGGCATTGTTTGACGTTAAAAACAAATAAAAACTGTCATTTGCCAAACATTTCTATTCACTTATAGGCTAAGGCAATATTAAACTAGCTGTAAGTGGAATTCTGTCTTAAGGCAATTAACACACTATAGGCGGGCCCCGTAAAATTACGCTCTGCGAGGACTGTTGCTTATCGGCGGGCAAGGTATTATTACGCTTTCAATAGACTAACTTTAAAAGCGAGTCAAAATACTTTTATGTGATCGGTTTGCATATGATATTGAAAGAATAGCTGATACTTTTCTCTAGATTCAATTGATTTACGTATTGAAAGACTTTTAGAATAAGAATAAGGATAAGAAACAATATGTTTCATCTTCAAGTTTCTTTTCATTCAAGCTACTCGCAATTTGTTTTGTAGATAAATATGCAGAATTTACAACAATAAAAAGGTGTTAATATATATTTTATCAAATATTTTAGTTATTAGTCAGATTTGTATAGTTCAACTCTTTTTTACATTGTTATTTGCAATAATGAAATAGTGGCATCGGATAGCGATAGTAAAGTTTGCGCCAATAATTTATCACAAATTGGAAGTGATTTTGATATTACTGATTTTGGTAGTGTATGTGGATGAAGATTTTTTTCATCCTAGAAGACGTAAGGTTTTACCGATTATTTCCAGAGATTCTGGAAATAATGACAATGAAGAAGTGAAGTGGTCAGAATTTGACAATCCTCCAATTATTGAATCATTTTTAGGTCAAAGTTGCGTTGTTTTGAAACCAAATAGTTTAATTAAAGTAGTTCAGCTATTTTTGCTATTCGGGCCCCAGCACCTCTTCATAAGGGGTGATTTTTTCCATAAATTTCACGTATGTAAAAAGTGGTTTATATATCTACTGTACGTTAAATTTTTAACTTTTCGTAGGTTAGTTATAACTAACCTATATATAGTACTATATATAGGTTAGTTATAACTAACCTAGAAAAATCGAAAAATTTTCATTCTTGATTTTCCGCCCATTACGTAATGGGCGGAAAATCAAGAATGAAAATTTTTCCATTTTTCTACGGTTTTTAGGTTTCTGAACATTTTGGCATACCTCAGAAAAAATGGATGTGTCTGTGTGTGCGTGGTGTTTTTGGTGGCCGCATTTTTTCGTTCACGTTTTCGGGCGCACGGATCAACCGATTTGAATGGTTCAAAAAACATTTGGCAATCGCAGGTCCAGCCGTTACGAAGATACAGAGCAAAAAGTGCAGAAAATAGAAATCGAGTTTTTGAGAGAACGGAGCATCCGATTTGAATGATCTAAAAAACATTAATTTAGTAATGATTGGGAGAAGTGGTGATTAGTTTTTGGCAAAGGCAGGTTCAGCCATTTCAAAGATACGGAGCTAAATGTACACAAAATGGTAGTTTTTGAGAGAAATAACCATCCGAATTGAATGATTCAAAAAACATTCTGATAGTGTTGACATAACAATTGCTTTAGGAAAAAAATATTTCATTCAATACTCAATATTCCTCGAACATTTCGTTATGGTACAGGAAGTTTCAGCAATTTGCCTTAAGGCACGATACCATACGCCACTAGTTTTTGTTAGTTTTATGTTTAATTATGCATTAATTAAATAATTTTTTTATAGTTCAAAACAACCAGACGGCTTTTTTTTTAAAAAAAAAGAGTTATAAAAAATATGTTCAATGTGACAGCCAGTTGTGTTCATGCGAGGCGACGGAAAGAGCACTCGTATCGAGCAAGCGATTTGCCCGCTACACATATCAGTTTGGTCTGACGAGTATTTTTACGGGGCCCGCATATAGTGTGTTAAGACATCGTGCCTTAAGGCAAATTGCTAGAACTTCCCGTACCAAAAATTATTATTTTTTTAAAAACGTTTAACATTTTTGAAAAAATAAGATTTTTGAGAAACTATAAATTGGACAAAAAATTACTTTTTTTTTGAAAAAAAAAATTAAAAAAAAAAATTAAAAAAAAAAAAATTTTTTTGAAAAAAAATGTTTTCTTTATTTTGACATATTTTGGAAAACCAGAACTTTTTCTTTCAAAGCAATCGTACTGCTTTAACTGCATAGAGACAGAATATA